TTCTTTTTATAATTTCACTAGTTTACATTTTCTTCCAACCTCGCAAGTCTCCATTTTCTCTTATTCTTGCGGGTCTTCGTTTTCTTTCAACCTCGATCCTAGTTTAAAACCGATTTATGATCTCTCTCTCTCACCTTTAGTGAAGGCCAAGACTCAAACATTTATTTATTCCACTGCCTGGAAGTCCTGCTTATATTCCAGTGTTTAATATTAAGGCATGTTACTGCACCGGCCTCATATACCTGTACCACTAGATATATACCTGTACAGTGCCACTAGATATATACCTGATATATACCTGTACCACTAGATATATACCTGATATATACCTGTACAGTACCACTAGATATATACCTGATATATACCTGTACCACTAGATATATACCTGATATATACCTGTACAGTACCAGTAGATATATACCTGATATATACCTGTAACACTAGATATATACTTGATATATACCTGTACAGTGCCACTAGATATACCCGATATACCTGTACCACTAGATATATACCTGTACAGTGCCACTAGATATACCCGATATACCTGTACCACTAGATATATACCTGATATATACCTGTACCACTAGATATATACCTGTACAGTGCCACTAGATATACCTGGATCATACATACACCATTAAAACCACAAGTACCACTACCCATTAGACATACACGCGCCACAATACACACACCATATTGTATACCTTGCACCTTTAAATATACCTGAACCTGTATATACACATGTGCCATTAAGTATACCTCCGCTATTATAATACTTGTGCCATTAAATACACCTGAACCAGTATATTCACACACCTGTCATTAAATATACCTACGCCATTATTATACCTACGCCATTAAATATACCTGTAGCCTTAAATACACCTGTGGTAGTATATTAACCAACGCGACTCCACAAATAAGGTGTTGGCTAGTATCACCTGAGGACTCTACGGACGGCTGATGAAGGGTTACGCCCGTCAGTGGCACGACTGGACTTTCCGTCACCTGTATGGCCTTACCTGGGCACTGTCTCCTCCCCTCCCTACTTACCTCATTCATACCTGTGATGATGCTCTCTCTCTCACTTTCTCTTTCTTATTCTCTGGCGCTTTTTATCTTTCTGGGTTTTCCTCTTACTTTCCTTTATAATTCCCCCCCCCCTATTCTCTCTCCCCCCCCTATCTCTCTCTCTCTCTCTTTCTCTCTCTCTTTGTTATTTCCTCTCTCTCAGTTTATCTTCTGGGTTTTCCTCTCACCTTCTTTTTAATAATTTTTCTTGCACTCTCTCTCTCTCTCTCTCTCTCTGTCTTTCTTTGTTTCTAAACTTTTTCTTTCTACTTTCTCTCAAACTTTCACTTTCTTTCTGAACCAGCTTTTATTTTTCTTTTCCGTTACACTCCCCAATACTCTGTGTGTCTGTCTGACTGTCTCTCTCTGTCTCTCTCTCTCTGCGCCTGTCTGTCTGTCTGTCTGTCTGTCTGTCTGTCTGTCTGTCTGTCTTTTCTGTGTTCGTCTCTTCACTTTCTCTCTCTCTCTCTCTCTCTCTCTCTCTCTCTCTGCGCCTGTCTGTCTGTCTTCTGTGTCTGTCTCTCTTCACTCTCTCTCTCTCTCTCTCTCTGTCTCTCTCTCTCTCTTTCTGTGCTCGTCTGTCTGTCTGTCTGTCTGTCTCTCCTAACTTAAATAATGTGATATCCTGATGACTGCCTTGTAGAGAAGCAAACCTCAAACTTAAACACACACACACACACACACACACACACACACACACACACACACACACACACACACACACACACACCGGTCAAGGCTAGCGAGTGTCCGCAAATGGTGTGGAGGGAACCAGGTTGAGAAGATGCACCAGCAGGGAGTGTTGACAGCCGGGCAGCTCTTCCAGGACCCGTAATGACCCTCAAGCACCCCCTCATTAGAATGCTGACCGGCATGTGAACTATCTAACGTACACACACACACACACACACACACACAGTCTCTCCTCCTCCTCTCTCGCATAACATACATAAAAAACAGTCTCTCTCTCTCTCTCTCTCTCTCTCTCTCTCTCTCTCTCTCTCACACACACACCTCCAGGACTAATTTACTTGCAGTATGTGTCATCTCGCCGCCTTTGAACGTTTATTTATGTTGCTGCAGCTCAACAAGAACGACTACAGGTCTTTTAAAGTTATTATTTTACGTCAACAAAAACGTCTACACACATTACAAGTACTTTTTTATACATCAGTCAAGGTAATTTTTAACTTTCATGTACTTTTAGACAGATAATATATGTTTACAAGTACTTTTTTACACCAGTCAAAGTGTTTTATAACTTTTATGTACTTTTATACAAGTAATAATATCCACAAGTATTTTTTTTAACTTCATTTTAAGTTAACTATTATCTTCGCTACTTTGATAATTTAGTAAGATCTTTTTTTTTACCTTTTATGATTCTATTAATAATGTCAACACGTCGTCTGGATTATCAGTTATCATGATAATTGGGTGTAATTTATTAGGATTCAGAGGAGGGGGGAGGAGGAGGAGGAGGGAGGAGGAGGGGGGAGGAGGAGGGGGGAGGAGGAGATGGTGGAAGACATTGAAGTTCTTTAATAAGTCTTACGTAACGATCCTTCTCTCCTCCTCCTCCTCTTCTACTACTCTTCTTCTTCCTCCTCTTCTATTCTTCCTCTTCCTCTACTCCTCCTCTCCTACACCTCTTCTTCTTCCTCCTCTTCTACTCCTTTGTGTGACCATCTGTGTTTAAATCCTTCGAGGACGATGGTTTTAATCTTGTCCTTGAAGTCCTGAAGGAGTTAATTTTGTCCCTTGTTCCTTCCTTCATTAAAATCTTATTTAAAACGTGTTAAACCGTGATTATGTTTATACCTTCGTCCTCCAAAAGGTTTAAACCTCGTCCTTGAGTGAATATAAACTTCGTCCTCAAGTTTAAGAGTTCCCACACTACTCCTCCGCCATCTTGAGTCTTAGTAAGACTTTATTTAAGACTTGAGACTAATGTTTAATACCTTTCTCCCCTCCACCTCACCCCTCCTCTCCGTCAATTCATCCCCCCCCCTTTCACTCCCTTCCAGCCTTTTCCTCTCACTCCCTCCCTCAATTCCTTTCCCACCTCACTCCCTTCCCCCTTCACCCCATCACACCCTTCCTCCTTCACCCCCTCACTCTCCCCCTCCCCTCACTCCCTCCCCTCACCCCCTGGCAATTAAAGTACCACAATCTAAAAATACAATTATATCACCACAATTAATTCCTCTAGTAGTGAAGGCAGGTAGGACCCATCACCACCGTATCTCCCGAATCAAAGTTATCATCACCTGACATACGGCTCAAAGCACCTCACCTTCCCAACCCATGTTCCACCACTGACATATATTACGTCTCACTACATTCTTAACACTCATTCATGTAGGTTCTAAGCCGTGAAGATCCTTGACGAATCCATAAACAAGATAACAGAAGAGAAGAGATAAAAGAAAAAAACGATAAATGTAAGAATAAAAAAAAAATATAAAAATGTTCTATTAATATAACTTTCAGGTGACTCAGGTAACTCAGGTGAGGAAGTATACCTTGTTTTTACCTGTATTTTACTCTAATAATATAGGAATAATTATCATATATGTATTTATAAACTACTGAAGACCGCCCGAGACTTATGCACCTTTCATTAATTAGCATCAATGTATATATTATAAGATTTAATTATGGAAAAATTATTATCAAGATGTATCATTAAATTAAGTCATTTATTTAAGTTGGTCAGGTGAAGTATTGGAGAGCAGCTGAACCCTTGGTGAACACACACACACACACACACACACACACACACACACACACACACTTTCACCAACCTCAATGTGTTATAAGGACTCACTATCACCCATATCACCACCAGTAAATGTCATAGAAATCTGATTTACACCCATCAAAGAATAATCGCAGCCCCCCTCCTCCCATCTTGGCCCACCTCCAAAACAGGTGTTGGAGACACACACACACACACACACACACACACACACACACAAACACTTCAGTGCACCTGACTATAAAACCATAATTTACTATAGGGAATTAAAATAACTTTGGCTATTTGGATCACTTCAAATACATGACAACAACAACCACAACAACAACAACAACCACAACAACGACCACAATCACAACAACAACTACCACAATCACAACAACTACAACAACATCGAGAAAATGGTGAATTGGGTACAGGTATATGTGTTGCTGCAGGTGATTTACAGGTAATGATAAAGATTGAATCGTTTGGTACACGTTAAGTCAACAAATAAGGTCATGTTTACAATCCACTCTTACCTGATTTACAGCTTGTCAGAGAACATTTACGATACCTGTATACATGGAGAATATTGACGATACCTGTATACATAGAGGGGGACATTTACGATACCTGTATACTTAGAGGACATATTTACGATACCTGTATACATAGAGGGGGACATTTACGATACCTGTATACATAGAGAGCATATTTACGATACCTGTATACTTAGAGGACATATTTACGATACCTGTATACATAGAGAGGGACATTTACGATACCTGTATACATAGAGAACATATTTACGATACCTGTATACATAGAGAGGGACATTTACGATACCTGTATACTCATAGAACATATTTACGATACCTGTATATATATATAGGGAAACATTTACAATACCCGGTTTACCGTAACTCAAAAAATCAAAACAATTCAGTTTAAAAAATAAAACTATTAATATTACAGCAAATGAGTCGATATTACAGAAGCCCAGAATATTTCCTTAATGTAATACAACACAACAGGTGAAATACTGTTCTCAAGTATTACTACGTGGAAAATGGAACTTCTCTCATACAGGTGTTGCGTCTTACCTGTCGGCGGTAACAAACACACAGACATACGAGGCTAAACCACAGCAACAGATGGTACAAGAGGATTAAATGGTACTCACAGGCGGTACAGATGAGGCTTGTTGTTGAAGAGACCATCTGGCAGGTGGCGCAAGCGGTTGTTATTGAGCCGTCTGTAAGGTGAGGAAGAGACAACAGTAAGTTACCTGTGTAGTATAATTAACTACGAAATGACAACAACAAAACAACAAAAGGAATGAACAAAAACAGTTAAAATATATATTAATAATAAAAACAAAATTGATTAACAAATAATTATTACTTTTTAAATGAATCGATCCCATAAATTTATCCTGAAATCCTAATACAAGAAACTGAAACATGAGTTACAATATATACAATTTAAATACAGTAGCTAAATACATTAAATACAGCTACAGGTACAGAAGTATGTATGTATGTATGGGTATATATATGTATGTATGTATGTATGTATGTATGTATGTATGTATGTATGCATGTATATATGTATGGATTTATGTATGTTTGTATGTATGTATGTATGTATGTATGTATGTATGTATGTATGCATGTATGTACGTATGCATGTATGTATGTATGTATGTATGTATGTTAATGAATGAAAACAAGCGTTATTAAGATACTGGTAGAGAGATAAATTGTGTGTGGTGATTAGTTGTGCTTCTATATATGACAAAGATATTTACGATGTTTGCCTGTAGATATGCTAGTAACACTACCACCAGCATTATCTACCACAGTACTACCACAACTACTATCAGTACCACAATCACCACCACCTCCATCCCACAATACTACCACTAGTACCACAATTACCAGCACCAACTACTCGTCTTTCACAGGACTACTACCATCGCCTACCACAGTATAACCACACCACCTCCACCCACAACCCACTCCCCACAGTATTACCACCACCACCTACTACCCACCCGTCACAGTATTACCACAACACAACCACCACTACCACCACCCACTTCTTGCCATTCACAGGACTACCACAACACTACCACCACCACCACCTACCACAACACTACCACCTACTACCCACCTGCCACAGTACCACCAGAGGAACAGGGTAGTACAATAGGAACGCCCAAAGGTAATATTAACACCTGCATAACAATATCCCAGATGCAGGTAACGTGGGTATCTCATCACCCACCAACACCTGCCCTCCTGCCCCCTCCCTCTCCTCCAGGTGTAAAGAGATGTACCCCACCATCCACCACCCAGCGCCTCCCCCTGCAGTAGTACTTCTTCGTGTGGTGGGTGATGGCTATTGGCTCACAGGATGAAACAAACAGAGAGAGAGAGAGAGAGAGAGAGAGAGAGAGAGAGAGAGAGAGAGAGAGAGTGAGTTCCACGACATAAGCCTCTGGAAGCATTAAGCACCAGCCGTCCCATCCGGCCTCCAGGGAGCACAGTCCGGCCTCTCGCGGGTGTCAGAGAGTACCTGGAGGTGTTCAGGGGGGAGCACCGCCGTGTGAGGGCCTCGGCTCATGAATTAAGCATGTTGAGTCTAGACCAGGTCACGACCCCCCTGGCCCGCCGTCACCCTCGCCGGCAGTAGTGGGTGTGAGCAACTAGGGGGGGGGGGGTGAGGTGAAGGCAGGTGACCGCCCAGGTGTGATGGTAAACGGTGTCTTAATGACTAAAACACCTGTCTTACCTCTGAATCACACAATATCACCCCCCTACTCGCCCCACTACATCCCCCACTATCGTCCTGTTACTGCTCCATCAATGCCCCCCACCCCCACTGTCCCCTACCTCCACCCCATCCCAACAGCCCCGACCCGCCCCGCCCCGCCCCGCCCCGCCCCGCCACCACCCGTTCTATGGTACAAGAGTATGTAAGATATTCAGTGTGGTGGCGGAGGATTAGTGGACCATCAGTGAGCCTAAGACGCACCATGTGTTACTTCCATTACTTGAAGCCGCTGCAGTTGTTAAGTCGGGGTTAAGAACACTCATTATGGGATTAGAGAGATCAACACTTTTGACCTTTCTTGGTGGCATTATTTTTATTTTTATTTCATTTTATTTTATTTTATTTTTTACGTAATATTATTGTTGGTATGTTATGTTATGTTAGGTTAGGTTAGGTTTTCTGGGTAGTGACATAAAGGAGATAATTTACCTGTTACTAGTTACCTGGGTAGTGGCTGAGAGAGTTAATTTTACAGTCAGATTTTTCCTAATTTCTGTGGAGGGGATAAAGTGTCACCTTGTGGAACCTCGGTGTCTTATACTCAGGCGCAGATGACATCACCAATTCAAAGTGATTATATACACTCACCATCTCTCTCATACATGTCCATACGTTGTTATATTCCTAGTGTGTTTATGCTAGATGTACCTCGATCATAAATTAGTTCTGTCCAGGTGGTTAATTAAGACAGGTAAGGATGATTTCGTCGTGGTAATTAACGAAGTGGTTGAGCGTGATGGCCCCCAGGTGAGGTAGACCAGGGCACACTCTGTCAACACCTCCAGACCCCCTCTCAGCCCCCTCCTCCCAGCCCCCAGTCCTCCCCCACCCCAGTTCCTCCGTGTCCATTGAACCTGAGACGAATGGAGGGCAAATAATCACACTTCCTTTTCCTCAATCTACACTACACCTGGTCATCGCCTCCTCTCCGACACACACACACACACACACACACACACACACACCAAACAATTACGATAAAGATTAAGGAAACTAATTCTTATTCTTCCTACATCATTTATACACAACTATCCTTCACCTCCTTCAGACACCCCCCCCTATCCCTCCCCCGTCCACCATGTAACCCTTATTAAATTCTGGGATAATAGTGGTGGTTCCTATCAATAGGTCAAAGGTCAGAGTCAGAGGTCACGAGCACCCTATTTATGGGGAATATCCTAAGGTAAAACTATGCTGGTAATTAGAACAGGTAAATGACAAGCCAATTATTTTTAAATGAGGATATTAGTGTGAGATCAAGTGAGCTGTGAGGGGTGTTAAGATCTGTCAGAGGGAAGGTGTGTGTGTGTGTGTGTGTGTGTGTGTGTGTATTTGTTTGTGTGTTCCTTATCATTTCCACAGTTTTGAAGATAGAGCTGAAATATGGTAGGGAGGTGCGTGTGGTCTAGGAGCTGGTCTAGCACTATCACCTGTCTCTCTACCTGGACGTAACTGGATATATAAATAAAACTCTTCCCACTTTTCAGAAATATTAAATCGTTGAATAAAAAATGTAAATGTTTTTCTGGCCTTTTAAACAAATACACTTTACATAAACAACAAAGACAATCTCGCCGATATACTTCACTAAAACAATAAATGTAAACAAATTAACAAAATATTTACTCCACTCTCTTAATTAACTCAACATCAAGTACACTAAACTACAAAGTCAATTAAAAGAAAAATCTTCACTCGCCATAAGTGTAAAAATAAATAATTTTTTTCTTGTAATTTCTTAATTAAATCATCATCAGATACACAAGGAACTCGCTACCTTAAAAAAATACTTTACCCTACCCGGAAAATAATGAGGAAAAACAGTATTTTTTTCGTATTCCTGCTGAGTTAATGAATCCTGTTGCTGAGCTGAGTCAAGATTCTTTGATTTTCTTACGGCGAAAATTCCTTATAAAAGACGTATTAGTGATGATGAACGTAATTACAGTATAAGAATAACGAAAAAAAAATAACACCTGAATTACGTTTTAACTCAAATTAAACTTACCTTGATACGTTCATTTAACACCTCAGAAAATACCTCTATGTTAATTTTACCTGGTAACTGTTGATAAGTCATTAAAAAAAAGGTAAATATTAGATAAGATTAACAAAGATAAGTGAACGTATCTATGGTAAAATCTTGGGATAATTTTAATATAATTTTTCGGATAATTTTGTGTTTTGGTTCAAGTCGACGTTTTACGAGTGTTTTTGGATGATGAATTATGTTTTGGTTCAAGTCGACGTTTTATTTTAGGATAATTTTGTGTTTTGATCCAAGTCGACGTTTCTTTAGGGTCCATTCTTAGGTACAATCCTTTCGTCTCTACTTACGAGCAATGTCCACCAGAGGAATCTTTGAGACTCTGAGCCGAGGAGAGTGAAGGCGTCAACACAGCTCCGTCACCCGCCTGGAAAACTCAATCTGGAAACTTTGGTGTTAATGAGCAAACATAAAAATATTCGTGTAGCTCTCATTAGCTTCTGGTGTCCCGTGAGAGAGAGAGAGAGAGAGAGAGAGAGAGACGCTGCTGCTAACTAACCATGTTTACAGGTAACTGAGCGATACGAACGGGTTAATTAGCGATGTTTACCGCCGCTCAGAGCCGACAAACAACCCACTTATAGAAGCTCTTTAGTTTTTTACTGATCAACAACCAGATTTCTTTCACTAGAGAGGAACGATACAGTCGACCTCTTTTAAACGATGTTCACATTAACTTGTTTACCTTCAGGAGAAACTGTCATACCTGCTCTCACCTGGGGGACATAATAATGACTCAACAGGTGTAAATATCTAGCAGCAGTAGGAGTATGTGAAGGAGCATCAGGTGTGTGTGTGTGTGTGTAGGTGAGTTGAGTCGCTGGCATAAACAGTATCATTATCAAAGACGCCGACAGCTGCTATCTATGAACGTGTCAGCCCGTGTTAGCCTCTTACCTCCCTAACTACCTCTCTCCCTACCCTCCCTCTCTCCCTACCCTCCCTCTCTCCCTCCCTCCCTCTCTCCCTTCCCTTCCCTCTTTCTCCCTACCCTTCCCTCTCCCTACCCTCCCTCTCTCCCTACCTCCTCCCTCCCTCTCCCTACCCTCCCTCCCTCTCTACCCTCCCTCCCTCTCTACCCTCCCTCTCTACCTACCCTCCCTCCTATCAACCCTCTCTCCCTCCCTACCCCCTCGTTAAGTCACCTCTAATTGTATCCTGACGACGTTACCTGTGTGTCTGTTCCTCCTCCCTGGCAGGTCACCGCTCACCTCTTTGACACAGTTACTGAATATCTGGAGGTGTGAGTCACTGTTTGTTCTTGTTTGTTGTTGTTGGGCAGAGGAGACGGGGAACCCAGAGAGGAAGACAGGCAGGAGAAGACAGGGTGGGGAGAGACAAGGAGCAAGAAGAGAGAGAAACAG